CACACACACACACACACACACACACACACACACACACACACACACACACACACACACACACACACACACACACACACACACACACACACACACACACACACACACACACACACACACACACACACACACACACACACACACACGCACGGACACACGCAGCTTTGACCAGAATGTGTTGTTGCTACTTGTGCATTAAGAACGGTTGGCCATGTGCTCAGCAATGGTTTGTGTCCAAGAAACGCGAAGGTTTACTGCGACTTGGTATTGTGTTCATTTTGTTGACTCGGGAATGCGTTCGATTGACAACGATTGACAACTGCTGTGGGCAAATGTTAGCAAGTATTGGTAGGAATGGTAGTTCATTTCGCCGAGCCAGCGCAGTTTCTGGGCGTGTATTTGCTTGGTTAAATTATTTGGCTTCTCAAGGTAACGAAGACGCACCACCCGACCAAATCGCATGAAATTGCAACGCCAAACAAAATCGTCTTAACGACACTTCCAACACGTAGCGTGTCACGGCGCAGCGTCTTCTCCAGGCACGGGGCGGTTCACAGATACGCTGGGATGTCTTTTTGGCAGGCGAACGTTCCCCTGGCGCAGCTTGCCGGATGCGACCCTTTTGGCTTCTGCTCCAGGGAGCCGTTTCAAGCGGGGGCACGGAGCCGTTTCCCCGGCCGTCGCCAGAGCCTCGGCTGGGTGCCTGGGGTTGGGCCCCCAAACAGAGTTGACGGGGCGATGGGGCAATTTTTTGGATCTTTCTGGACCCCGGACGAACACATCCGCAGTGGTTGTGCGACTCGTGAATTCGCCCCGTCATCCCCAGGCGCTTGAGGATGAATCTCAACCCTTTGGCTACCTATGTCAAAGAGCGGCAGGGCAAACGCGTGATCCGGAAGGCGGGATGAAGGTTCTCAGCCCGCTCCCTTTCCATGAGACGTGGTTTTGTCGAATGGGGAGCATTTGTGTTGGGTGTCGGTTTCCCCTTGAAGCCTCGCCCCAATTGATGAGCCTCAAACCAACTGACACACCTATGTGAGCGCAGCATAGGTGCGCGCGTCAAGATTCCAGGCCGGCCTCCACAAGTGTCCTTTCGCGTCCAAAGGGTCCATCTCCAAGTAGCAATCGCCGAAGTCACTCTTCGTGGGGTGTGCATCAGAATGGGGCACCCCCCACGGTTTATGGTTGGTGCTTCAAGCCAAGGGAACGCACCCAATTTACCACCCAGCAGCGGGTTTTGTCCCATGCGAGTTCAGCTTGTAAATATTAACACCCTCCAACTGTGTTTGAGGTTGACTTTTGGCTTTCCTTTGAAACCCCAAGAAGGAAAAACAACTACTGCTTCATGTCCAACAAACCGCTGCTAGAAACACGGCGGCGCGACGCCAGATCCTGATCTCCAACAATGGAATGGCTGCCGTTAAGGCAATCCTCTCCATGAGGAGGCAGCAATCGAATGGTTGGGTGGCCGCTCGGGTTCTCAGTTTTTTTTTTGGTGGGTGTATTTTCGAGGGTGCCCGTCTTGGGGTTGGCTCAAAATTGAAAACCGAAGGGAAAGCCAAAGGGAAAACCAAGGGAAAACCCACAAGTTTGGATGTCAGAAAAGGCACCCAGATATCGTTCTTGTATCCATGCGCTTTCCCGAAATGGATTTACAGTTTTGGCTCCTGTAGGCTCCCTTAAGCCCATTTTTGGATTTCCTGTAGCCGACCCGGATCGGCAATGGAAGAGTTGGGGATCCGCACGAACTGCAACACGCGCGGAAGGCTCATGCTTTGCAGCGCTGAAGTGGCACGGTTGCATATACAAGCGGTAAATGGGCCACCGGCATCCAATCACCAGCCCTTGTGCATGACAGTGACTACAGCTTTTCAAGCCCTTGTTCGTCCTAGTTGCAATATTCAGGCATCCACCAAATGAGGCCAAAAGGCCACTCCCCAGTCGCCGCGCATCGCAGGAGAGTCTGTTTCAAATGCCTTACCCCGTTTTTGGGTACATCCTGCCAATCCATCCCGAATCTGGGGTCCTGGGGTCAGTATTCTGATTTTTTTCTGGTTGTGAAAGTCGGACAATGGTGTCGGTGGTCTCCTTGAGAGCACTGGTCACATCGCAAGCTCCGGAGGCTTGGCTTTCGCTTTTGACCCTTCTCGAAATATTCGGCCGGGGAGGCCATCCTCTTGCTTTGGCTTCCCAAGAAACAGCAACCGCGCTTGCTTGCTTGCTTGCTTGCTTGCTTGCTTGCTTGCTTGCTTGCTTGCTTGCTTGCTTGCTTGCTTGCTTGCTTGCTTGCTTGCTGGCTCGCTCGCTCGCTCGCTTGCTTGCTTGCTTGCTTGCTTGCTGGCTCGCTCGCTTGCTTGCTTGCTTGCTTGCTTGCTTGTCTGCTTGCCTGCTCGCTGGCTGGCTTGCTCGCTTGTTCGCTTGCTCGCTTGTTTGTTTGTTTGTTTGTTTGTTTGTTTGTTTGCTTGTTTGTTTGTTCGTTCCTTTTTCTCTTTATTGCATATCGAAATGGGAGCGCCCCTAAAATGGGTGCGGTTTCCGTTGTTCCCTTGATACCAACTCCAAGAACAGAAATACCCTCAAGAGGTCCTCCCCTTCAACGAAACTATTCAGGTGCCAGACTTACGGTGGAGACTCCAGTATCACAGATTTTGTGCTTTCCAACCGCTTTGCGGGGCTTCCTCAGCAAACGGGCTTTATCCAAAGAGTTTTATCCTTTTGGTGCAACTGCCCGCAGAAGTGTACTTCCCACAGAACCAGGAATCCCATTCACCATACAACCTGGGAGCATCCTTTCAAGTATTTTCACCCCAAAAGCGACCGTCAAACGCGGGCAACGTTTGACGGGAGCGCCGAACACGCAGATGGACCTTCATCGAGTTTGGCTCCGAGCAGATCATCACCTTTCTGGCTATGGCCACGCAGGAGACTGATGAGCCGCTGGTTTCCCATGGGTTGGGTTTCTCCAAGGGTATTCAACCCAAGAACTCAAAAGAGCCGAGGGCATTTTGTGTTGAGGTCCCATTCAAAGTGCTGTGCAGGAAACGGGCATGGTCCAAAGTTGGGAAAGATGCTAGGGACACCTTGGAACATGTGGCGACAGAAGTTCCCTGAAGTGCTGCTCACCAATGGGCCCCCAAGCAGAAATCATGCTTTGTGAAGCAAGCCAAGATACGAGGTCTTCATTTGATGAGTGAGCAAAATCTATTAGTAGTCAATCAGTTTATACTGCTCATGTGCATATATGCTTGCTTTGAGATTGAGGTTTCTTCTATCTCGGGGGAAATATTTGCCCATAAAGGATCATCCACATAGGTTGTTTCTGGCAGTCTTGCCCTGTGATCACGCTGTTTTTTTTTGGGGGGGGGAAGCGCTCCTGTATGCATCCATGTCGGCACGAGCAGTTGGAGGAGATTCATCAGGCTCAACTCTGAAGATGTGTTCAGCTTTTTTTTCTTCTTGTGGAGTTGCCGAGGGTTGCACGTTGGTTTTCCCTCCATTTTGCACAGCTTTGAACCCATGGTTGAAACCATAGCGTTTGTTGGTATTTACATGGTCCTCATTTGTTTCGGGTTTCTTAGGTGCAAAGTGGCTTTCCACGGACGACCCTTAGGACGACCTCAACGCCAACGCGGAGTTCATCCGCCTGGCAGACTCTTTCATCGAGGCTAGATCAGGCGTTTGTGAGGATTCCAGGGGCGTTCGTGGCTGAAAGGAGTTGTTGGGAAGGTCACGGTTTGGTAAATGAAACTGGTGAGCCATTGTTAAAACTGGTGAAGACCCAGTTTTCTGGTTGACCTTTTGTTGGTAACCGTTTTTTTGTTGTTGTTTTTTCTTTTTCTTTTTTTTTTTCCCTGTACTTCTGGTGGTTTTTTGTTTGAATGGTTGTGGAGGTCGCTATATCAGCTTCTCATGCGGTTAACATGGCGCGGCTTGCGGACATGCCTTCAAGGGGCCCATGCCGGGCGAACCATCTACTTTCAAGAACTCGGGACTGGCGTCAAGAAAAGGCTGGAGAGCTTTGTGAGCAAACGCACATATGATGAGATTCTGATAAGGGATCCCCTCCTCATTTCGAAGAACCCAGTTTGTACGGGTCATATTCGTAGGAGACGCTCAGTTTAAAAAGTTGCGCAGTACGAGAAGAAGCAATCATGCCCCCATCAGGTTGACCTACCCTCGCCCGTGTGAGCAAGCAGTACCGTTATTTCAGGCACCACCGTGTTTCATTCTGCAGATGTCCAGTAACATCATGTATGGTGTGTCAAGTACCTTTTGGCGGGGCCCTCGTTTTGACATGTACCCAGGTCAGCTTAGCCTTTTTATCAAACCAGCGAAAGCAGGCAAGTTTGGACGCAAGCACCTCTTCTTGGGCTACTTTGCAGGGAACATATGGGAGTTGGCGCTTGGCTCATGTTCGATCACACTCATGGGTTCCCGACTTGCAGTACCAACTCTTTCCACAGCGCTGCGCCTCAATACTGATGGACACAATTGGCACCAGTTGATCTCTGTTATAGGTGGGTACATTGTTGTCGTCCATCACTGCTTGTATGAGGTGGGTACATTGTGTTCAAAGCGTGGGATGATTGGGAGGTGCATGCCCAAGGGCCACCCTTAGACTTGTTTCAAGCCCAATGCTTGGTCAAAAGGTCCTTTACATGGGGGTGACCATTAGGCAAACCAAAACAGATTTGCCCTTCACCACTAAACCATGGTTGTTGGGAAACATTCTTCCCATTTTTGCTTATGGTGGTTTAGCGGTCGAACTCCAACCACTTAACTGCTATTTTTTTCCAAGTTGTTGCTCCCCAAGCCCAACGTCAACCAAGAAGCAGGAAGAGTTACCCAGGGCCTAAAAGGAATCGATCAATCCCCGAATTTGCATCCAGGTTGTATCCCGATGCCATGAGCCGTGGAGGTCTTGGATTCTTTTTTCCCCACCTGGCCGGGGGATATCAGCAGGGAATGAAGGAACGAACCGTTTTTTTTTGGGGGATTCCCGAATAAAGGAAATCATAGGGGATGTTTTACAGGGGTCATTCCCTTAATTTCTTCATTCCCTCAGCAAGTTGAGGTTGGAGAGAAGTTCAAAAAGCACATTCAGCATTTCGAAAGGCAAAAGGAGACCTATGCACTTCGAAAAAGGCAACCCGAGCATCTCCATTTCGGACTTCTTAGCTCGTTTCCCAGCCATCCTTTCAGACCTTCAACCTTGTAGTTGATTTTTATTTGGGGGGTCTCCGAATTTCACCCCTGAAAAGTTTGAAGCTTCTAGCGGGGGATCTGAAAACGGACACCGCTGACGGCGGTGTGCGTAAGATCTGAAGATTTTTCAGGTGCCCTCCGGGAAGAACGTGAACAACTACGCCAACGTGGATCTCATCTGCCGCGGGCCTCGAGGAAACGGCGCGGAAAAGCGCGCAGCGGGGATTTTTTGGAACTGGGAGGCCAAGGTAAAGCGGGGGGATTGGAGGTAGGCGAATTGTGTGAATGTCACACACAAATACGTTCAATACATTGACTCGAAAGGAATGGCATTCAACATGCTACTTTGAGTTATACTGAATGTAGCGGGGCCCGACTGTGGATCTGGATTCGTGGGGGAGAGCTTCATTGGAGAACTACCATTCGGTCCAAATCGCCATCAAGAATTTGGTCAGCAGTTGTAGTAGTAGTTGTAGTAGTTGTAGTAGTTGTAGTAGTGGTACTAGTCGTGGTAGGAGTAAGAGTAGGAGTAGGAGTAGGCGTAGGAGTAGGAGTAGGAGTAGGCGTAGGAGTAGGAGTTGGAGTAGGAGTGGTAGTGGTAGTGGTAGTGGTAGTAGTAGTAGTAGTAGTAGTAGTAGTAGTAGTAGTAGTAGTAGTAGTAGTAGTAGTAGTAGTAGTAAAAGTAAAAGTAAAAGTAAAAGTAGAAGTAGTAGTGGTGGTGGGGTGGTGGTGGTGGTGGTGGCGGTGGTCGTGGTGGTGGTGGTGGTGGTGGTGGTGGTGGTGGTGGTGGTGGTGGTGGTGGTGGTGGTCGTGATGTATGCATTCCAGACATTTTCACATGATTCTCCTATCGCGGTTTGGGTTCCAAGAATTCCTTTGCAAAAGCATGGACATGTCCCCACCCCCTTCAAAATGGAATTGGGGGAGGGGGGTGGCCCCTGGAGTTCCATTTATGGTGCCATTTTCCATTTTGCGGGGAAGAGTAAATAAATGGAATTGAAAAACCCCCCACCCCCTCCCCCTTACGGTAGGGGGGATATGGACATAAGATGGACATTGCTCTGCACTAATTATAGTGAGTTAACCGAACAGGGATGAAACGAGCAGTTCCACGCATGATGACGATTCGCTGTTGGATTCATTTCAGGCTGGTGAAAATAGAAAGTCAAGCAGATTCTGGAAGGTGGACTGCATCGAGCCCTTTGGTGCGAGGTCGACGAGATCATAATGTAAGCTTACCTTTTCCTGATGTAGAATTTGCCCAGCTTGACTTGCGTTGCACAGTCTGAGACTGCGCAGCTACTTGATTCAACCTTTGCCACTGTGCCAAAGTCTTGATTGCTGCGCGGGTCATCAGAAGTGGGTTGATGGGCAAGGAGGAATACACAAGTTTGCAATGCTTTGTGTGGAGATATGAGGAGATATTAGATACAACTGATACGCAAAAGTGCTTCCTGCTGATGTTTGGCCTACTTTTGCTTTTGCAGCAGTGCATACTCGTTTTTTTACTGCATGCATCAGATTCACAAGTGCAAGACTGATTGACTCGCTCGGAAAACCTGCATGGCTTGGTTTGTTTGGTTGGCTGTAAATTCAGTGGTTGAGGTGTTGCGGATTCTGACATTGGGTCGCCACTTGATACGGAATATTTCACAGTGGCAGAGTCTTGATCGCTACGTCGGTCATCAGACATGGGTTTGTGGGCAAGGAGGAATACACAAATTCGCAATGCTTTGTCCCGAAGTGCGCTTGATGCGTGCTGGTGAGGGATGTCAACCTTCTGAGGATCTGAGCCGTGTTGGAGATGGGTTTGCTAGCAGGCTTGTACACTTGAGCTTGATATGTGGAGACGAGGAGATATGAGATACAACTGATACGACAAAGCATTTCCTGCTGATGTTTGGCCTACTTTTGCTTTTGCAGCAGTGCATACTCGTTGTTTTACTGCATGCATTAGATTCACAAGTGCAAGACTGATTGACTCGCTCGGAAAACCTGCATGGCTTGGTTTGTTTGGTTGGCTGAAAATTCAGTGGTTGAGGTGTTGCGGATTCTGACATTGGGTCGCCACTTGATACGGAATATTTCACAGTGGCAGAGTCTTGATCGCTGCGTCGGTCATCAGAAATGGGTTTGTGTTCAAGGAGGAATACACAAATTCGCAATGCTTTGTCCCGAAGTGCGCTTGATGCGTGCTGGTGAGGGATGTCAAACCTTCTGAGGATCTGAGCCGTGTTGGAGATGGGTTTGCTAGCAGGCTTGTACACTTGAGCTTGATATGTGGAACGAGGAGATATTGAGATACAACTGATACGACAAAGCATTTCCTGCTGATGTTTGGCCTACTTTTGCTTTTGCAAGCAGTGCATACTTGTTTTTGTTTAATCGTGCATCAGATTCACAAGTGCAAGACTGATTGACTCGCTCGGAAAACCTGCATGGCTTGGTTTGTTTGGTTGGCTGTAAATTCAGTGGTGTGAGGTGTTGCGGATTCTGACATTGGTCGCCACTTGTAACGGAATATTTCACAGTGGCAGAGTCTTGATCGCTACGTCGGTCATCAGAAATGGGTTGATGGGCAAGGAGGAATACACAAATTCGCAATGCTTTGTCCCGAAGTGCGCTTGATGCGTGCTGGTGAGGGATGTCAACCTTCTGAGGATCTGAGCCGTGTTGGAGATGGGTTTGCTAGCAGGCTTGTACACTTGAGCTTGATATGTGGAGACGAGGAGATATGAGATACAACTGATACGACAAAGCATTTCCTGCTGATGTTTGGCCTACTTTTGCTTTTGCAGCAGTGCATACTTGTTTTGTTTAATCGTGCATCAGATTCACAAGTGCAAGACTGATTGACTCGCTCGGAAAACCTGCATGGCTTGGTTTGTTTGGTTGGCTGAAAATTCAGTGGTTGAGGTGTTGCGGATTCTGACATTGGGTCGCCACTTGATACGGAATATTTCACAGTGGCAGAGTCTTGATCGCTACGTCGGTCATCAGAAATGGGTTGATGGGCAAGGAGGAATACACAAATTCGCAATGCTTTGTCCCGAAGTGCGCTTGATGCGTGCTGGTGAGGGATGTCAACCTTCTGAGGATCTGAGCCGTGTTGGAGATGGGTTTGCTAGCAGGCTTGTACACTTGAGCTTGATATGTGGAGACGAGGAGATATGAGATACAACTGATACGACAAAGCATTTCGTGCTGATGTTTGGCCTACTTTTGCTTTTGCAGCAGTGCATGCTTGTTTTGTTTAATCGTGCATCAGATTCACAAGTGCAAGGCTGATTGACTCGCTCGGAAAACCTGCATGGCTTGGTTTGTTTGGTTGGCTGTAAATTCAGTGGTTGAGGTGTTGCGGATTCTGACATTGGGTCGCCACTTGAGACGGAATATTTCACAGTGGCAGAGTCTTGATCGCTACGTCGGTCATCAGAAATGGGTTGATGGGCAAGGAGGAATACACAAATTCGCAATGCTTTGTCCCGAAGTGCGCTTGATGCGTGCTGGTGAGGGATGTCAACCTTCTGAGGATCTGAGCCGTGTTGGAGATGGGTTTGCTCGCAGGCTTGTACACTTGAGCTTGATATGTGGAGACGAGGAGATATGAGATACAACTGATACGACAAAGCATTTCCTGCTGATGTTTAGCCTACTTTTGCTTTTGCAGCAGTGCATACTTGTTTTTGTTTAATCGTGCATCAGATTCACAAGTGCAAGACTGATTGACTCGCTCAGAAATCCTGCATGGCTTGGTTTGTTTGGTTGGCTGTAAATTCAGTGGTTGAGGTGTTGCGGATTCTGACATTGGGTCGCCACTTGATACGGAATATTTCACAGTGGCAGAGTCTTGATCGCTACGTCGGTCATCAGAAATGGGTTGATGGGCAAGGAGGAATACACAAATTCGCAATGCTTTGTCCCGAAGTGCGCTTGATGCGTGCTGGTGAGGGATGTCAACCTTCTGAGGATCTGAGCCGTGTTGGAGATGGGTTTGCTAGCAGGCTTGTACACTTGAGCTTGATATGTGGAGACGAGGAGATATGAGATACAACTGATACGACAAAGCATTTCCTGCTGATGTTTGGCCTACTTTTGCTTTTGCAGCAGTGCATACTTGTTTTTTTTAATCGTGCATCAGATTCACAAGTGCAAGACTGATTGACTCGCTCGGAAAACCTGCATGGCTTGGTTTGTTTGGTTGGCTGTAAATTCAGTGGTTGAGGTGTTGCGGATTCTGACATTGGGTCGCCACTTGATACGGAATATTTCACAGTGGCAGAGTCTTGATCGCTACGTCGGTCATCAGAAATGGGTTGATGGGCAAGGAGGAATACACAAATTCGCAATGCTTTGTCCCGAAGTGCGCTTGATGCGTGCTGGTGAGGGATGTCAACCTTCTGAGGATCTGAGCCGTGTTGGAGATGGGTTTGCTAGCAGGCTTGTACACTTGAGCTTGATATGTGGAGACGAGGAGATATGAGATACAACTGATACGACAAAGCATTTCGTGCTGATGTTTGGCCTACTTTTGCTTTTGCAGCAGTGCATACTTGTTTTGTTTAATCGTGCATCAGATTCACAAGTGCAAGGCTGATTGACTCGCTCGGAAAACCTGCATGGCTTGGTTTGTTTGGTTGGCTGTAAATTCAGTGGTTGAGGTGTTGCGGATTCTGACATTGGGTCGCCACTTGATACGGAATATTTCACAGTGGCAGAGTCTTGATCGCTACGTCGGTCATCAGAAATGGGTTGATGGGCAAGGAGGAATACACAAATTCGCAATGCTTTGTCCCGAAGTGCGCTTGATGCGTGCTGGTGAGGGATGTCAACCTTCTGAGGATCTGAGCCGTGTTGGAGATGGGTTTGCTCGCAGGCTTGTACACTTGAGCTTGATATGTGGAGACGAGGAGATATGAGATACAACTGATACGACAAAGCATTTCCTGCTGACGTTTGGCCTACTTTTGCTTTTGCAGCAGTGCATACTTGTTTTTGTTTAATCGTGCATCAGATTCACAAGTGCAAGACTGATTGACTCGCTCGGAAAACCTGCATGGCTTGGTTTGTTTGGTTGGCTGTAAATTCAGTGGTTGAGGTGTTGCGGATTCTGATACAACATTTCTTTTTTGCTGATATTGGACCTGACCTTCTTGTACTTTTGCAACAATCCATACTTGTTTTGATATTCGCGGCTTTGTCTCAAAGTGGGCACCGCACAGTTTTGGTGATTTTCCCGCCCTCTGGCTTCCCACCCAACATGATGCCGCTTGGCCCTACTTGTGCACCCGCACCTGTGAGACACGTGTTGGGCGCACGCAGATCTCTCGAACATAGCAAGGCGGGGAACAAGGGATGCCTCGTAAATGGCCGCGACGTGACGGGATTTTGTGGCAGGTTCACTTGCAACATATCGGGTATGTATTGCAGCATGATTATAGAAAGTCGGCCCTTTTGCGTCACCAAAGCGGGATTTTCATGCATCACTACTTTTGCACAAAGCGTAATTTCCCTGAGTTCTATAACATGTCACGACCATGGCCTGGTTGCCTGGTTGTCCTTGGGTTGATGTCCTTTGATGGGATTTGGTTCCAGAGCAGGGTTTCACTTTTCGACTACCCCAAGATAGACGCAGAATCGCAGGGGTGCTCCTTTTGGGGGGGAATGAATCACCCCTGCGTTTCAGTCTACCGCGGGGAGTCGAAAAGTGGAACCCTGTGAGCTTCTTACCGTGCCCGAGGCCGGATTGCGCAGGAGCAGCAGGTGGACGCGGTTTGGCCTGGCTGGGGGCCTGACGCCCCAGTCGATCCGATTTTCAACGAACACCGCGGAGTCTCCAGGCATTTTCCAACTGCCAATCAGCCAGGCAGCCAGGAAAGCACTCTTCCTTGTTCATTCAAAGTGGCCCAAACAAGTTCCTTGTTTAGGGACACTGAGCCCGCTCCCAAGCAGCAGCATGTTGCAAGACATATTAGCCAGACCGCCAACAGAACAAACAGCTTTCGTACTTTCTGCTTTCGCAGGTTTAACTTCCCGGCGATCCGTTTGGCCGATGAAGCCATGAGACCGCAGGCAGATGAGTCCGAGGGCAGTCCCAGCCATGAATCGGTTCGGATGTGTCCCCTTCCGATTAACATTGTCTCTGGTCCCGGGCGAAAGCTCAGTCGGTTGCTGTCAGACCTATGGACACCGGAAAAAGTGTCATTTTGCGAGGCTGGGGTGCCCCCATTGATGAAGACCGCCCTGATTCTGATCTTTTTTTGTTTGCGGGGGGGTGGGTGGGAGGTGGGGGGAAAAGGGGTGGGTGGTGGGGGGGTGGGATGGGGGTCACCTAAAAAGGACACACCCACAAGGGCATGGCGGAGGACCAGGGGCCACCCAACGAGGCCACAGCCACCAGGCCGCTCATTTTTGACCCGCAGCGAGGCACGCCAGCGAGAACCCGAAGCTGCCGGCGAAGCTGAAGGAGACAGCTGGTTTACCTGGTGGTTGAATCAACTACCAAAAAGGACACCTGTTTGGGAGCTGAAGCCCTCGCCCATTAATAGAGCTGTCAAAGTTCGTTCAGAACAACAGAAGGCAGGAAAGTTCGGAATATGATATCATGAGTTCGAAGGTCAGTCAGCAGGATGAGAGCTCTCTGCCACTGTCAGTTCTGGGAAAAGATCCCACTAACATGGCACCTCACAGGGAGTCACTCCAAGAGGAAACTGATCTTCCAGGTACCCTCTCACAGGTGCCATGTAGTGGAAGGAAGGGTAGCCAATTGCAGCACTGCAGCCTCTGCTTCAGAGGTTCGAGCTTAAAACGTGCAAAGCAGTGAAGTTTGAGCTGTGGATAGCCACCAAGCCACCCATCCACCAATTGGAGGGAAGCTGGTTTGCTGAATGTGTCGGAAATATGTACTCTTGCTGCTTTGAAAGGGAGTCGATTTCACTACTGGAGATGTTATGATTTTTCCCAGTGGGCAAAATGGAAGCCCAAAGGGAAGAACATTTGAGCCCACTTTCTCAGAACCCCGGGTAAGTGCAGGGTGCGGAATTCCGCCTTTCAATTCTCGAAAGGTTCTGGGTCCCGATCATTTGGATACCCCGGGTTTTGATTGTGACTCACCTGGGTGGGCCTCTTTTTGTTGGGCTACACTTTTTTTGTTTGGCTGGTTGCAAAGAGAAGCCAACAGGACACCTTTTTGGGAGAAACACGCACACGCACCCATATTTGACCAATATATACAACAATCCGCCTTTGCTAAAATTTCCACCCTGGAACACCACTCCAAACCACCAATCCAAACCAAACCAAGGGGCGCAAATTTTTCCAGGGTCGGCGCTGAGTAGGAGCTGGGGATCACCTTCATCGGCCCCCCCTCCGGCGTGATGGCCGCGCCGGGGCCCCGAGGGGCAAACAAAAGAACGGGGTGGGGGGGAGCTGGGTCGTGGAGTTGATGAAAAGACGTGGGAACACTTGGAGGTGCGATACTTTTTGCGAGTTCGTTTATTCTGCCGTTTGTTTTAGTTGCAGTTTGATGGTGTTTTGGCGCCTCTTTGTGAGGGTGCCTTCTTGTTTGGGCACGGAGCCCGTTAAGGGGGCACAAAGCAGAAGCCATCCTTTCAAAGAGGAAACCATTCCCTTGCAAAGGGACATCAATCAGAAGCCGTCTTAACCCAAGGGATAATTTCAAAAGAGGAATGCCATCTTCAAAGGAGGTCAAAGGAAGCCGATCAAGTTCTAAAAGGGACATCGAAGGGTTTCAGGTCCCTTCAAAGAATAGGTTAGAACAAGTTAGAACCGGTTCTTTTCCAACGGGCAAGGGTTTGGCGGCTTGCCGATTGGGCTCCGGAGGGTTTCTTGGAGGTTGGGCGACAAGATCGCGGCGAACATCCTAGCCCAGACTGCCAAGGCGCAATCGCTCGCAGCTGGTTGATGTGGGTGGGAAGAGAAGGCAAAAATCGGGCGCCTTTTTTTTTTTACAAAAAGATAAGGAAAGCTTTTTTGGGCTTTCAGAGGGAATCCACAAGAGCCCCATTTTTGTTGACAAATCCATTTGAGCGGAGTCTCTTTTGCTAAGCATTCGCTTAGTATTCGAGGGGAACTGCTGTGATGTTTTGGAGGCGCTGCGTAGGCCACGAAAGCGATTCGCCTACGCAGTCCACGTAGGTCGTGCAAGAAAATTATGCGTAGGCAGGTGTGTGTGTAGGCATGTTTTACCTTGCACAAGCTTGCTGTTATGGCTTGAGAGTAGTGCCCTAGAAAAGTCTGCGCAGGCAATTCGGGTAGGCGCTTGTTGCCGCGTAGGCTCGCATAGCACCCGCGGAGGCTCCGCATCATGGCTGCTACTGTAGTGTACCAGGCCGATACACCCAAAACAATCCTGCTCATTTGGTCTTGTGTCAACCAAACACGCAATCCAAACAATATGTTTGTTCGTTTTTGATGCACTTTCACCGACCCCAAAAAGGTTACCCCAAGAGCATGGCGATGCGAGGCCAGCAACTTGCGTGCCTTCTAGTCACCAGAATACCAGACAGGTGCTGAATGAACCTTTTGACCGGTTCTCTGAAATCGGGCGGTGGTCTGATTTCACAGTTGCTAGGAATACAGTGTTGTACATGAAACAACACACCTTGGTTGGGGGCCTTTTTGCATGGAATGTCAGAAGTAGATGCCATGCCGCAGAAAGCAGTGAGGAAGGCGATTGGGCGTGTTTTTTGTTTAGGGGGACCCCCCACCCGCCCAAAATGGCTTCGGTTTTTATTTTGATTTCCCTTTCTATCCGCAAAACAGGGGTAGCCTCAAAAAAAGGGACGAGTCTATTTGCAGAAAGGCAGGACGAAATGGCGCGGACAAGGTGAATTCCCCTTGCCACCTGCAAAGCCTCTTATCATATTTGCCTTTCGAGGCTCAGATAGCAAGGGCCAGAATGCAAAACATGTCACACTTAGCAGGCAAAGGATGAGGTAGGTTTAGCGTGGTACGTCGACTTTCTTGGAGACTGCCTGGCCCCCAGAAGCCCTATATTTACATCCCTGCAGAAGCTCACGGGAAACTCACCAACTTCATTCTTAAGCGGACCCTCCTTTCTTTCTTTCTTTCTTTCTTTCTTTCTTTCTTTCTTGCATTTTTTCTTTTCTTTTTTTTTTGGGGGGTGGGGGGGCCCCGAAGTTGGTGCTTCAGAAGCCACCTTCAGCTCACTTTCCGGAGAGCCAGGTGCCCAGCATCCCGTGGAGCGGAGATGGGCTCACCTGCCAGCTCACCGCAGAGGGGGAGGTCCCCGAAGAGGCGAGCCGAGGTTTTTGGTTGCAGTTGCCCAGGTTTCAGTGTTTTTGGTTGCTCCAAGAAATGGAGCTGGGGGTTGCTGTGGGCTCTGGGAGGACTTGTTCCCTGCAAATTTCCAGTAGCCCTCAAAACATGTCTTGTGTTTGGCTTCGTGCGAAGCAACTCGAGGTTTGGCGAATGCTGTTGTGACCTTGTTTTGAGGGGCCCTTCTCGGAATTATGGCGGAATATGGGTGTGGCTCAAAATTAAACAGGAATGCTTACGCAGGTTTTGGTCCATGTTTCCACTTACCAGGGCAACCCATGTTGGAATTCCGGTTTTTTGAGCCACAGCCATATGTTTTCCTTGTCGATAAGTTGTATCCCTTTTGGGACTCAATGCCTCCCCTTTTGTCGCCTGTGATCTGGGCCCACTAAGTGGAGGATCATCTTCCTTTTTTTCTTTCTTCTTTTTTTTTGGGGGGGCCCTGAAACCAGTGTTTGGTGGTACAGTTGGCGGGTTCTCTCTCTTTTTCTTTTTTTTTTATTGCTTGGGTAGCATCCTTTTACTTGTTTTTTGTTTGTTTGTTTTGTTTTGGTTTTTGTAACGTCCTTGGGGTGGGTAGGGATGGTCGTGCACCCTTTATAGGACATCTAGACAACCGTAATTTGAGTTCGTATCAAAAGAATGATTTGACCATGCAGCATATGGGGGTGTGCAAAGCATTGGCTCTTTGGATGATTTGAAATGGAAGCCAACAGGAAACTACGCATCTGGAGAAGTCCCACAGGTCATGCAACTGAACCTATATCTTATACATTGTCCTTCTTTGTTTTAATGGATTGGCATCAGCTTTCCGAATTAATGCGAGGGCCGCACTCTGTTTGTTGCTTGTTCTTGACACGGGCTCTGGGAATGACCCTTTCGCAACCACCATGTTGAGCTTCCGTCGAAGTTTCCACCAGGTGGTGATTTGCGATTACCTAGATAGCCAAGTTGCTGTTTTTTTCAGTCACTGTTGCTGGTTTGCGGGGTAAAGTGGATGGACACAATCTCCGCGCTTTGTCTCAGCGCATCTTGACCAGCTTCGCGGCCCCAAGCCGTGCAGTCACGGACGTCTTGCGCCGTTGAACCGGTTTGGTTTGCGTTGTCTTGTTGCGCCATCGCATGGCTATCACCGGACCCAAATTGAACCCCCGACGTGTTTGCCCACTTCACTCGACCTCACCCGAAAAAAAAGAAAGAAAATAACAAGAAAAGAGAAACAAACAAGAACAATGAACAGAAAAGGCAGAAACAGACAAAAACGAAACAAACAGACAAAAACAAAAACAACAACAACCAAACAGGAAAAAAAAACAGCCGGGGCTTTCGGGGTGAGACTCTCCAAGCCGCCGCTCACCACGGCCTCCGTGGCCATTGTGAGGTCTTCCGGAAGGCGATGGTGGCCACGGTGGAGGAAGCCTTGGAGCGGGCCGCGAAGATCGGGTTCCCCATCATGGTGAAGGCGGGATGTTCGTGGACTCGCTGTTTTTTCTTGGTGCCTCGAAAAAGGCGAAAACCTTGGGGCGGGATGATCATGGAATCGTCGTTATTTTTTGCCTCGACAATGGCGAACACATCGGAGGGGAAGGCGGGGCCCGGTGGAATCGTGTTTTTTTTTGCCTCGAAGAAGCGAAACAGCGAGAGGGGATCGGAAGGGGATCGGATCAAAAGGGAGGGGAGAGGGGTGGTTGGGGTTTGGGGTTGTGGGGTTTGGGTTGGGGCTGGGGTTGGTTGGTTGTGTGTGGGGGGGGGGGTTCCAATAGGGGGAAAGGGGGAAGCGTGTATTTACTTGACATGTGAATCCCCATTCAAACGTGATGAACCCCTATTTAAAGGAATTGGACCCCCTCTCATGAATCAACCAGGGGTATATTAATGTGGGGTTCGCATCATTACCTTGGGTCCTTGGAATCAGTGGATGGGCAAAATCTGCCAGTTGGTAGGTGCATAGGGCTTCATCCATCCCCAACTGGTGCGAAGTGGATTTCGTCCATCCACAGAATGATTCCCAGAACCAACAAAGGGACATCAAAGGGACTTATGGGAAGGTTGGGGTATGCTTGAAAGGTCTGTTGGCAGGTCCTGGGAATGATGAATTGCTTTTTTGAAAAGAGTTCCGGGGAAGATGGCCGTCTCCTTTGAAGCCATGTTCTTGAGACTACGCGACTCCAGGGAAGCATTTGGATGGTCACAGCAAAAGAACTGCACGGCCGTTTTGGAGCACTCAAGGTGGTGGATCCCGAGACCCTTTGGGTGTCACCCAAAGCCAAAGGAAGGAACTAGGAGAACTCCTTGAGTGCTCACGCGGCATGTCGGAAGACCCAAAGTGTTGGAAAGCCAAAGGAGTTTTATGACTCCTAAACCTGTCACCACCCGAGACTAAAGAGCAAATATTTCTGGAGGATGTTGGTGCCACTTGTGGCTGTGCACCGGGTCCCAAAGCCAAAAGTAAGCCGTGGGTCCCATTGAGGCACTTCACCTCGAGAGATGCGCCCCCCCCACCCTTCCATCAATTCGCAAACCTGACCTTGTAAACCTTTTTGAGAGGAAAAGTACAATGACTGGGTCAAGTTGGTTTAGTGATCGCCGGCAAAGATGTCTTTGAAAGCACCCCCCAGTGAATAGAACCAGTTTATGACTCCTGCCAGGATCCCCGGATGAATAAACCCTGATTAATATGCGGGGGGGGGGGGGTGTCCCCTTCTATTTGGGGTTCATCACGTTTGAAGGGCCCCCCATTAAAAGAGCCAACTTATTAATCCTGGTTAGGAACCCTTGTGGAATGGAAGGGTTGGCGTCTGTTCAAAAGGCACGGAGAGTTCGAGGAGCCGGAAGCGGGTTCGGAGCTCAGATTGGAACTTTTGATTCTCTGCCAAGAAGCCCTTCATCAAAGGCAGCCAAAAGGGATATTGTTAACCCCAGATGCATCAACCCCAGTTTATGAGCGTTATTTTTTGCTTAAGTGCGGACTCAGGCCACTTTGGCCCTAACCTCCCTCTTAGTAGAACGGGTCTGTTGGGGGGTGGGTCAACATCATTCGGCGAGTTCAGATCATTTTGTCCAGCCCTCCCCTTGAATTTTCCACCCCGGTCTTCGTCCTTCCCGAGTTTCGGCGCTTCCCGCGCCAACCGCAGGCCTCTGAGGGCGGGGGCGGCAAGGGCATCCGCAAGGCCACCAGCATGGAGGCGCGGCGCGCTTCGCCGGGGCCAGGGGGGGCGAGGCTGGGCCTGGCAAAAAACACCCATCTGCAGCGTCGGTTGTGCGTTGAAATTTGGGGCTTCTTGCCGCCCCAAACCAACGTGCTTTGAAAAACATAAGCAAGGGGCGTTGAAATTCCACTTGGAGGCAAGCGGAACTTGGGTCGCAAAGAATTGCACATGAGTTGTGGACAGAACACAAGGCGAGGCTTTCTCTTTTGGTGTCCCTGAAGCAACCCAAAAGGGTGCTTTTTGAGCCTTAAACGGGGCGCCGGGCGTGCCGTGTTCCTGAATAGGTTTTTGGGTTTCATCATGGACTCGGGGTTTTTCTCCGAATGGGGTGCCCTTAAATTGAGGGATTCCATTTGTTACTTGCAACCAAAACATCACGCCCCAAAAACTCCCCTTCATAAATCGGGGGAGACCCAAGTGTCCTTCCGGGTTGCGGAAGCGGGGGCCGGCATTGGCAGAGTTGGCATTCGGTGCAGTGGGTGCAACGCATTTATGGCTATCTGCTTGGATCTTTGGAAGTGAACTTTGGGGGAAACATCGGATTTTCCATTGGACCTACAAGACACAAACAACTTTTTGCAGAGGGGGATTTTCCATTGGACCCACCAATAAATAAACAAAGCACTTTTTGCAGAGGGGTCAAGAGAAACCCAGAGGCCTCTTCTTGAAGCGACCTCCTTGGGTTCCCGTTTGAGAGAGCTCGGGCCTGGCGGTTTCCACGTATCTTCCCCAGCCGTGCTGGTGAGTCCTCAGCCGTGATGCATCATTCGTGCAGGAGCTCAAGCTAGCCTTCACCAACGTGTCCACCGAGGTGGGGGAGTTGGGTGGGGGGAGGTGGGGAGTGGGGTCGTTGTGTTTGGTTTTCTTATCAAAGTCAGAAACTGGGGGCGTTTCCCTTTAACCTCTATACAACTTTAGGGGTGACTTTGTTTCTGATAAGAACATTAGGGTCCTTCCCACGATAGTGGTTGACGAGGTCGGAAAAATGCGTTTTCCATTTGCTTTCCCTTTTAAAGCCACAACAAGTGGGCGTACCCTCAAAAAAGACACGCCGGCGTGTTGATCTTCAGGGGAGAGCATGGGCGACTGTCGCCCTTGTGTCAGACTGGACACCCACGGGCCTTCGGTCTGGGTACTTCCAAGAAGCAGCTTGCTTAGAGATCAGGCCTTTTGAGGTACCTCCTGTTTGTTGAGATCCCCTTTGCAGTTGGGTGAAAGTAGATGGCACAATTCCCACATGTTGGCCAAGTCATCCTCTCTACTTGCCGATTTTTGCGAGGGCACTGTTATCTTTTTGGCGGTTTTTCGGGGAAACCAAGAAAGACGGAATCCTTTTTGGCAGGTGCAGGAATGCCATTCCCGAGTTTAAGATGGAGCCCAAATGCCTAGGATCTTTTTTGGGTTCCATGTTGAAGAGAGGCCACTCAGCTTCCCGCCAAGTGGTGGTTTGGAGCCCGGTGGTTTGGTGGTCAAGGAGGGGTTTCCAACTTGCCCTCTACAAGACCCAAGGTTCAACTCCAAATCCTATCCACCAATCCGAACCAGCAAGTCATCGTTACCTGAGCTACCTGATGTTGGAAGCAGATGGCTATCCGCTAGCGCGCGCGGGCAGGTGCCTGGCTCCCCCATCTTCTTGATGTGTGGCCGGCGTGTTTTTTCGTTTGGTTTCAGCGGGGAGGGGGCGAGTCACTCAAAATGGGGGTGTCGCATGTTTTTGGAGTTGGTACACCAGGGCGAAAAGTAGATACACAATTCCTTGTGTGTGATTGAGTGGGATCACTCCAAGATGGGAGCATTGCGCTATCTAATGTCACCCAAACGAACCCCTTGGTAAGGGACATCACCAGGAAGGCCAACAAAGAAGGGGCTCCCAGCGATTTTGGCTCATACCCCAAGGTGCGAACTATCCCAAGATCCTGGGGAAGGCGCAAGCTTTGGCATGTTGATCACTTCTTTCGGGGCTGCGGAGCTGATTTCCTTCAGGCCTCCCTCAAGGGCCGCAGTCAACCGTCGATGGGTTCCGGGAGCCGGCCTTTTTCGGACCATGCGGATGGGGGGAAGTAGTGTGGATGGTGGCGAAGTCCGTTTCGCGCCACGAAATGAATCCACGGGAACTCATTGTTGGCGGGTATTTGCAGGGGACCGGGCTTCATCCACGCACGTATGGAATTCAACAGCAGTCTTGAAGCATTTTTCCTTGTTCGATGAAGCAAATGATGCACCGCGCATGTATGGTTGCAGTGTCCTGTAGATGTCATCTTCTTTCTTGCGATGGAGCGAACGATGCACTGGGACGCATCTACGCATTCAATCGTATCGACGCAGAACAAGAGACCAATTGCGGCATGCGGTATTTGGTGTGCAAAAGACATGGGACCCTCTTAGAAGATCCGATGAGGCTTGGTCAATGCGCTTTTTTGTTTGTCTACTGTGATGTTGATCCAGCGTACAGTCCGACGATATCCTGCCCCTCAAAGTGTGCAAGGCTGTGTTGCCCTGTTGCCCAGTGATTGCTCTGATATTCAGCTGCCAACTACCAGAGCAGGTTTATTCATCACAGAGTATGCAACACACTTCAGCTAAAGCACCCCATACACACCGGCTCAACAACCAAGTGAAGACAACCACACGAGATAGTACAAAGAATCCACAGGAACCAAGCACCAAGAAAACCTCAACAACTTCCGAGCCAACTGTACCTGTACCCTTCAGTCCAAGCCCAGGGCTGTACTTGTACCATTCGGGCGGTTCTTGTTTTGGGCGAACCCCCTTTTGGTTGAAGGGGAAAGAAGCGGAAGAAGCTATGGGGTCTCTGGGTCTTGTGCCCAGGCTCGGGGACGGCAGCTCTCGGGGTTCAGGAGGGCTGTTCGAATCCCTCCCACCCCGGTCGGGCTTATTCTTATTTGGCGGGGCGTCCTCCAAGAAAGCGACACGCCCATTCCTATGTTTAGTTTTTTTTTTTTTTTTGTGTTGGGTAATGTTATGTTTCTTTGTTTTTTCCTTTTTTTTTCCTCGTTTTTTTCTTGGTGGGTGGGGGGTGGGTGGGTTATGTTAAGTTTTGTTTTTTTCCTCTTTGGGGGGTTAGAGCACTTCCCCCGGCCACCGAACACCGCAAGAAGCCGAACACCAGGCGCATGGTGTCGAAGGCCCGGCACCTGGAGGTGCAGATCCTGGGGGACGAGTGCGCCCCTTCGCGGCCACGGAGGGCGAAAGGCAAAAGGCGAAAGGCGGGCCGGGCGTTCGGTGGGGGGTGTTTTTGGGATTTGCATGTTTTTGAGGTCGGTTTTGGGGGTGATTTTTTGTTTTGCATTTTTTTGGGGGGTGATTTTTGGATTTGCCTGTTTTTGAGGGGCGTTTTATTATTATTATTGGTTGCCCCTACTTGCAGTATGGCAGACCGCAGGCCATCTAGGTCTAGGTTTGGGTTTTTTCGGGCTTGAGGACCCGGAATCTGCAGGAAATCTGGACATCGAGTGGGAAGCCGGGCAACCACAGGAAACTGACGTCGGATACTCGGGGACCAATCCAAACTTCAGGACCGAAATGTGGCTGCCATTGCTGATCTGAACATGTGTTGTGTTGCTTGTTTCGGGAATCTATCTGGGGTAGACTTAGGATACACTTTAAATTTTACCAGTGACTCAAAGGGAAGCAAACAATAGAATATACATTCTATAACTGGGCCTAAGTCAAATCATGCTATCATTGGGAATCTTTTTGCCATTCTTTCCCCGGGGCGCAAACTCCACCCCCGAACCTGTCAGACATCCGGAAGGCGGAAGGCGAGGGAAGCTCGGAAGGGCAGGTCGAAGGCGAAACGGACCAGTTCTATCAAAAGACGTGGCCAAGTTGTCACACGCCCAGGTGATATCTTCAACAGCTCCAGAACTCTCTGGAATTCGGAATTGTACCTGACTTCTGCCCAACAAAAATAAGGTTATTTTGCCTCTGGCAAACAATGCATGGGCCACCCAAGGAAAGGCCCGTGCCTGGTGTTCAGCAATGGTTTAGCTGCAAGTTCGAAGGTCATCAACCATCTCCCGCAGCCTGCATGGCATCAATGCACTGACATTTGGAGCTGACACTGACTAGACTTGCTCATCTCTCGCTTTTGTACTTGTTGCGGGGCAACCCCATTGAGCCTTGCAGGTTCAAACACAAGCCTGCTGCACCTCGCCAACTTCATGTTTTTGCGGGTCTCCTCATTTTCAGAACGGTCCCGCATTTGCCAGCCTCAACTCGCTGGTTTTCCCTTCTGGGCTTTCTTCATTCTCCCCCAAGGTTCGACGAGCTATGCCTGCAGGTACGATCCCAATCCTGAAAGAGCCAGGGAACCCGTATTTGGTGAGTAGTGGTTTGGATTTGGATAGCCCGGGAAATGGGACACCGCCCCCCCAACCTGCAAATTACCAACTGGGAAGCTGCAAAAAAGGGATCCGCAGGACATGAGGTTGTATAGCAAAGCCAATTGGAGGTACCAAAGGAAATAACTGCAAAAACAACCGGCGCTTTTCTATAATCGCACATGTGCTGGTGAACTGTTATGGATGTGGCCAACCCCCCCCCCCCCCGGCAAGAAAACAAAAAGCAAAAGAAAGAAAGACAGAAGCAAACAAACACCAAAGAACTCACCCGTCTTTCGCAACCCGAGCTGTTTTGGGTTTCGCAACCCGAGCTGGTGGACGGCTTTGCTCGCAAGCTGAGAGGTACGGAAACACGCTGGCCCTGAACGGCCGGGACTGCTCCACGCAACGGCGGTTTCAGCGGGGATGCCCTGCTGCTGGTGGGGGTGAAAGAGGGGCCGGGGGGGCCTCCACCGATTCACATGGGCAACCAGCTTGGTTTCCATGTAAAACCCAGTTTGCTTCTGTTGATACTTCTAAACATGGTGGGAAGCCCTTGCTGCTTCCATTTTCAGTGCCTTCCTTTTGGTCTTCCTTTTGGTCGCTATGGCAAGCCTCGCGGTTTTCCTTTGCTTCAGAGCCTTCTAAGCTTCTAGCTCGGTGATGGCCTCTTTGGTCTCGTTGATTCAGTGGTTACTTTCGATGCGGCTTTTCACCTGGAACGTTCCAGCCCAAACCTGAATGTGATTTACTTCACCTCAAGTCTCGCTCTTTCCATCTCGGTTTCCATTTTGGCTCCCGCCCTCCCATCAGCATAGCACCTGGCAAAAAAAAACAACGTTGGGGCGTTTCGTTCGGATTTCGGATCATCGAACCGTCACTTTCCTGAGAGACTTGAACAAAAAACAGGGCACTAAAACACTAAAAAACCAAGATATTGGAATTTTTTGACACCCAAGGCATGGCATAGTTCCCTACACCTTTGGCTTACAGGATATTGGACATTGAAAAACACCGGGCGAGGGCAACCGCCGGATGCGGCGTCGAGATCTCCGTAGGAAGATCTTCGAGGAGGGCCCCCCGGTGATTGCGAAGAAGGAGGTGCCGGGCTCTCGGAGGTGATGTTTGGTTCGGAACAACAACCATCCCCCGTCTGTTTTTTTTTTTCTCCTTTTTTTTTTTTTTTGTTTTTAAAGGTTTTTAGGTGGTTTAGTGGTTTCCATATGGTGGTTCCTTAGCTTTTTGGCCTGGGGTTTAGTGGGTGGTTGGGTTTCCGAATTCAAGTCACAAGTTAGACTCACTTCTTTTTCAGGGGCTCGTTTTCGGAGGCTGGTGCGAGAGATGCAGGGAATGAGAATTGGAACGCCCCCGAGAAAACCATCCATTTCCGATTTGGTTTCCTTTCTTCGGAAATCCAACCAAAACCGGTTCATTCCATGTCTCATTCCCTGCCTATCGCACCAGCCATAGCAGGCCACCCAGCGCGTAGTTTTCCTTCTTTTTCTTTTTCCGGGCTTGGCAAGCTTGGTTACCCTCCCACCAACTAACCCAAGCCCCTTTCCAAGAGGAAAGTTGTCTTTCTGGGGTCTGTTCCATGTTAGTCGGCTTGGGAGGGTATAGAGGTACATGGATCCGGGTAGAGTTTAGTGGCAGTTGCCCAGCCGCGAAAAGTGAGAAAACTTGGGGATCTTGGAGCCCGCTTACTTACGGGGCCTCGGTCTTGGTGCTGTCTCGGCGCTGTCTCGGGTAAGGGCTCGACACCAACAGGAGATCGGTTTTGAGGGTTTTCGGGGCTCGACTCTTGGCCCGGCGCTCTCTTCAGAAACCATATGGCTGTGGCTCAAAAACATGTACCAAAATGGCTTGGTATATGGAGCCAGAGACTAAACCCTGCGTAACCCTCTATCTTTAATTTTGAACCGCGCCCATATTTTCCCAAAGACAATAATTTCTGGGAATGGGGAGAGGCTACCAATCTTAAGTGACACTTCTCTGATCCTTATGCCCATTTTTTCTTTTAACCATTTTCCCCATCGACAAATGGGTTTGGGTGTGTCTTTTTTTGAACCCCCTCCCCCTTTATAGGTAAGACAACTGGAAAGAACTCATTTGGGTCTATCTCAAAATGTGGGGGGATCTCTAGCGTTTTTGCTTTGAACCCCAAGAATGCAAACAAGCAGACCCAGGCAAGCCTTCAGGACACCACAAATTCGTGTGTGTGTGTCATTTTTTAGGGCATCCTCCAACTTTCTCGGTCTTCGCTTGAAACCTATTGGCTTCCCTTGTAACGGAAAGCTCAACCAAAAGAAGACGAACCGCGCCCGTGGGTTCCCCAAACGCCCCGCGCCCATCTCTCCAAACCGCGCGGCTCGGATCGAGGTTCCGTGAGATGGAGCGTGCCGCCATGCGCCTCACGGCGCTGGTGGGGTACCGAGGCGCCGGCGCTCGGTGCTTCGGGGTGGGCGGAAGGCAACCAGCGGGTCGGCTGGTTCAACTTGGCGTTTTTGTCCAGGTTTTCAGCGGCCAGGCGACCCGACTCAAGTCTGGGAGATGCATTGGGCAAGGTGATTGCAGGTGCTCCAACTCTGCGTGGTTCCCAGCCATTCGGTTTCCTACGTTTGGGCTTGTTTCGGTTTAGTCGTAGTTTCCATTTAACCCACAAGTTAAATTTTCTAGCAGGGGATCAGTTTGGACAGCCCAGCACCCCGCGAGTGATGTGCATTGGACGCGAGCGGTGAATATGAATCTCAAGAGCGCCCGTTTTATGTTTTCTGGACAGATTCTGACCGGTCAAAGTCAGAGTGAAGCTGGTTGGCGGCTTCGTGAGTTTGATGACAAAATCACGAGCTGCCACACTCGACTGCCTTGCTAGGCAAATCAATGTACTTCACAGGTCCGAAAGAAGCAACTCTCTTCGGAGCCTTCATCCTGCAGGGTTCCTCACTTCTTGAGTTCCTGGACTTTGCACTTTTCGGGAAGGTCATCTTAGTGGCAAACGAACAGTTCAGACTTCTTTTTTTGCGAGTCCACTGGCTCGGAGCCGGGGGCCAGCTCGTCATTTCTCCCCTTCGAACCTTAAGTGGGAGCTTTTGTTGGACACAAGAGTCACTTTGCAACTTGTCTTTTTTTTTGGGCGGGTGAGCTCGTTGGTTTCGGATATGCACCCAAACGCCCCAAACGCCTGAAGGAGTGGAGACAGAGGTGAAAGACTCGCCAATAAGTTCCTTTGCAAGATCCATTTGAAGGGCCCGAGGGTCCACAGAAACAAGGGGTCAAGCCAAGCATCTTGGCTTGAAGGGATCGGAACCCGGCAGAGCTCCTTTTGGTTTCCCTTAGCACTCCAAAAGGAACTTGGTTGGTTCCCCCCTCGCGGGTCGTCAGACCGTCAGACCGTCAGACCGTCAGACCGTCAGACCGTCAGACCCTACCCTCAATGACAAAACATGCACCAAAAATGGCAAAGGCGGGCTGGGGCTGTTTTCTAAAAGCTTGACTTTGGGGATTGAAGCCTCTTTCTTCTAAAGAACATGGCTTCAACCAGCAAGCTGTTTCGACATGTTTAAGAGGTTTGGCCCATGGTTCAACAGTGAGCTGTTTGTACACCTCAACTAAAATAGTGTCTCAGGTGGTTCTGCAGATGCCGAAGGACAGGTACCCCCCAGCCTGTGGAACCCTCGTGGAACCTCGGAATGCCCCGTGCGTCTGAACTTGAGCCTTACATGGCGCCTGCGCCAGACCACCCCAGAACCTTCCTTGCACCTTACACCTGGCCTGCGCCAGACCAGGAACCTTCTTTGAACCTGGCCTGTTTGAGAGGAACCTCCGGAACCTTGCTCAAAAACCTTACACCTCGCCTGACACCCCAACCTACGGAACCTTTCTGCAATCTTACATTGGCCCCAAAACCTCCGGAACCCTCGAACCTGACCTGGAGCTTACCCGCTTACCCGGTATGTGGGCGGAGAGCCGACTTAGCATTCAGCAGTCGGGGAAAAACCGCTGATCATGGCCATTGCTCCCCGTCCCATCACAAACGTCTTTCACATTGTTTACTGCACTTCGTGTTCGGTGTCAGGAACTCGCGCTTGTCCAGCGTGAAGACACTTGAAACAACCCGTTGGAGGACATGTGGGTGATCGGCAATATTACTGGCCCCCAAATGACCAGGGATCAGTTTCAGCCTAAAAGGACCTTTTGGTCAACCCCACGTAGGTGAGAAAGGGCGGTTGCATTGACCGCAGGCGCTGGCACCGTGGAGTACCTCTACAGTGGCTCCGACCCAGTTGGCTCAGCCAGAGTTCCATTTCGATGTGTGTGTCTCTGTGTTTGTTTGCTTGTTTGCTTGCTTGTTTTTAAATATGTACGCTTGCATGTAGGTTATGGTATGTATGTATGCATGATATGCATGATATGCATGATATATCTGTCTGTCTGTCTGTCTGTCTGTCTGTCTGTCTGTCTGTCTGTCTGTCTGTATGTATGTATGTATGTATGTATGTATGTATGTATGTATGTATGTATGTATGTATGTATGTAATGTATGTATGTATGTATGTATGTATGTATGTATGTATGTATGTATGTATGTATGTATGTATGTATGTATGTATGTATGTAATGTATGTATGTATGTATGTATGTATGTATGTATGTATGTATGTATGTATGTATGTATGTATGTATGTATGTATGTATGTATGTATGTATGTATGTATGTATGTATGTATGTATGTATGTATGTATGTATGTATGTATGTATGTATGTATGTATGTATGTATGTATGTATGTATGTATGTATGTGTATGTATGTATGTATGTATGTATGTATGTATGTATGTATGTATGTATGTATGTATGTATGTATGTATGTATGTATGTATGTATGTATGTATGTATGTATGTATGTATGTATGTATGTATGTATGTATGTATGTATGTATGTATGTATGTATGTATGTATGTATGTATGTATGTATGTAATGCATGTAATGTATGTATGTATGTATGTATGTATGTATGTATGTATGTATGTATGTATGTATGTATGTATGTATGTATGTATGTATGTATGTATGTATGTATGTATGTAATGTATGTATGTATGTATGTATGTATGTATGTATGTATGTATGTATGTATGTATGTATGTATGTATGTATGTATGTATGTATGTATGTATGTATGTATGTATGTATGTATGTATGTATGTATGTATGTATGTATGTATGTATGTATGTATGTATGTATGTATGTATGTATGTATGTATGTATGAAATGTATGTATGTATGTATGTATGTATGTATGTATGTATGTATGTATGTATGTATGTATGTATGTATGTATGTATGTATGTATGTATGTATGTATGTATGTATGTATGTATGTATGTATGTATGTATGTATGTATGTATGTATGTATGTAATGTATGTATGTATGTATGTATGTATGTATGTATGTATGTATGTATGTATGTATGTATGTATGTATGTATGTATGTATGTAATGTATGTATGTATGTATGTATGTATGTATGTATGTATGTATGTATGTATGTATGTATGTATGTATGTATGTATGTATGTATGTATGTATGTATGTATGTATGTATGTATGTATGTAATGTATGTATGTATGTATGTATGTATGTATGTATGTATGTATGTATGTATGTATGTATGTATGTATGTATGTATGTATGTATGTATGTATGTATGTATGTATGTATGTATGTATGTATGTTAATGTATGTATGTATGTATGTATGTATGTATGTATGTATGTATGTATGTATGTATGTATGTATGTATGTATGTATTGTAATGTAATGTAATGTAATGTAATGTAATGTAATGTAATGTAATGTAATGTATGTATGTATGTATGTATGTATGTATGTATGTATGTATGTATGTATGTATGTATGTATGTATGTATGTAATGTATGTATGTATGTATGTATGTATGTATGTATGTATGTATGTATGTAATGTAAATTAATGTAATGTAATGTAATGTAATGTAATGTAATGTAATGTAATGTAATGTAATGTATGTATTAATGTAATGAATGTAATGTATGTATGTATGTATGTAATGTAATGTAATGTAATGTAATGTAATGTAATGTAATGTAATGTAATGTAATGTAATGTAATGTAATGTAATGTAATGTAATGTAATGTAATGTAATGTAATGTAATGTAATGTAATGTAATGTAATGTAAATGTAATGTAAATGTAATGTAAATGTAATGTAATGTAATGTAATGTAATGTAATGTAATGTAATGTAATGTAATGTAATGTAATGTAATGTAATGTAAATGAAATGTAATGTAATGTAATGTAATGTAATGTAATGTAATGTAATGTAATGTAATGTAATGTAATGTAATGTAATGTAATGTAATGTAATGTAATGTAATGTAAAGTAATGTAATGTAATGTAATGTAATGTAATGAAATGTAATGTAATGTAATGTAATGTAATGTAATGTAATGTAATGTAATGTAATGTAATGTAATGTAATGTAATGTAATGTATGTATGTATGTATGTATGTATGTA